TCCTCCGATGTTGGTAACGTACCTCCTCTCTCTCTCTCTCTCTCCCTCTCTCAATCTGCAGTCGATTTTCTCGTGCATCGACCCAATTTCCCAGGCCGGCACGGGCAATTTAACACGGGTCTTCCCTCCACTTCGCCATGCCAGATTGGCGGAAGACCACTTTTTCAGTGCCTATCGTGGGATAAGGGTCAGAACCGATTTTTAAGAGCGCCGCAGAGCGGGTCCTGCGGACGTTACAGTAATCGAGGGGGCAGCTAAACGAGACCTCCCGCTCGTAAAAAATTCCTTTCCGGCGAGCTAAGCGTTTAAATAAGTTCGGCGATGGTTGCAACGTGAGCGCAATGTATGTAATTTCAAGCGGCTTGAATTAAATAGACTCGACTCGCGCTTACATAAAAGTAGATGTCATTCGTGAGGGTAGAAAATAAACACGGGCAAGCACGTTTCCTACGTTTTTCCTAAACAAACGCGATATTTCCTTGAAAAAAAAAAAGGATCTTTTTTTTTCAAATTTTTATCTTCGTTATACGTTTTTTTTCGCTTTTTAATGTCAAGTTTTCATTTATTTCAATATGTGCTGCACGCACGAAATACGTTTTCCTATCCATCCAGCGCGCCGTTCAATGGCATTCGAATGGTGCTTTTGCTGATATATATCCTTTAATATTTGTAGCGTGAAACAGTTTCGCGATATTCCCGGCACGTGATATAATTTCAAGTAACCGATCGGCGTAAACTGTTTTTCCGCAAGTACGACCGCGCCGTTGGCGTAAGCATCACGTGTGTGCAATTTCAGTGACACTCGTATGGCGCGTGTATATTTGTGAAAGTGAGGCAGCGCAGCCCTCCCGCGAATTACCATATTCCGCCGCCTGCCCGCCGCTCTACATGTTCTCGTGGGCTTGGCCCAGATTCCGTTCCTCTCTACTTAATAAACAGAGCCTTTACTGTCGTGCGCGTGCAACGCAGTCTCCGCACTTGAATCCAGTTATCTTTTATTGCGGATTCCACCCTCTCCCTCCCCCCGTATTCCGCGCGCGCACGACCCAACCACCCCACGGCTCGCGTAGCGGCCCTCCCCCCGTGTAGTCGCTCAACGTCCGACCTTTTATTTTTACTTTGTTGTTGGTAAAATCAGATTTTTATTCCGCGTTCTTTCCGCCACTGTCGTGTCGCGCTCGTTAGCGCCGACGTGCGCGACGACGTTGCATTAGCATGGATATTATTCATGATGGAAACCGATGGATCCTGCGTTACCGCGTGTACACGCGCGCGGTTAGGGAGACGAGAGCATCTCGCAAGCAGTATCGTCGTCGGCATCGTATTTGCTTTCTAAGCGTGCGTCGTGTTATCAACTTTCGTGGATAAGGACGGTGAACTTTGTTGTCAGCACTCGCGCGGTATCGATCCGCGGCGCGTTCGCATACGAATTAATAGATCCGCGGTACATTTGTTCAAATGGGAGAACCGGCGAGAGTCCATTCATGTAAGAGGAGTTAGTTTTCTGAATAGAATTAGCATAATCCACTTCTCTCTAAACACTCCACGAGAATCTCCGACCAGAGTTGTATTTGGTGTCTTAACGAGTTAAAGCCGGTATTCATTTTGTGTTTTGGAAACTGCGCCGCGAGCGTCTTACGTCGCGGCGGATAGAATTTGTTTGTTAATCAAGGAGCAAGTAGTGCAAACGCACGCGAAAACGTAAAAGCTAAATATTTTATCGTCGTTCATCTTCGGTGTGCGTAAAATTGATTAAGGAATATTTATAATGCAAAAAAATGCGTCTAGTTAGCGTCTCGATGTGATATATCGCTGAAATCGTATCTGAATGATGGTACGCGACTTTGAGAGTGGAAAGACCCGAGCGAAATGGATAAACCTTCATGAAAAGTGAAGGGTCCGGTTGTAAAAGAGATGGAGCGCCAGCAGGGAAGATTTTAAATCGAGCGAACCAATGTTGATGATGCACGTCCCGTCCGACATCCTCTGTGACAAAGAGAAAGAGAGTAAAGCGGAGAACGTTTTATTCTCATGGAATCGGGTGACTCGGTTGATCGTCAAGCCGAGCGCATAAGAAAGCAGGAAAATCCCGGAAAAGTGTCGGACATATTTCCACATATGTGTGACATCCTACTGTTCTATTATGTCAAAACATCTCAGGTATAATAAATTCTAGAGTGGTTTTCTCTCGTTTTTCTCTCTTTCTAAAATGATTCAAAGAGTTGAAGTGCACTTGATACCTAACGGTAAGAAAATATTGCGTTAATTACTGCACAAAAAAACTACACGGCGAAATTGAGACAACGCGCAAGGCATACACGCGGAAGAAAAATGTAACCACAGAAAGTAGGGCTTTGCTGTGCTGTAAAAGAACCGTCACTAAAAAGCGTTAGGAAGAACGGTCCGAAGCAACACCTGCACAAGCCGTGAAATATTACGACTATTTATTCAGTTCTTTTTAAGAATATCCCCCGCCGATGAATATATCCAAGGTCTCGAGACTTTTCCCGAGGTCTTTCCGCAATATCAATTTACTTCTTTAAGATCTTGAATTGTATCGTTTCTTCCTCTTGCGCCTTTGTAGCAAGAACAGTATCAATGCAACAAATGCTAAAAGACTGAAAACGTATTATTTCTCTCATGCGCGAGCTATTTTCTTTTCTAAAATGAAAGAAACTTTCTCGTCCTTGACAGAGCCTGATAGTTCCTGCCATTTATTGACAATTTGTAGAGCCCTTAGGAGTCTATTGTCTGTGGACTCTGCGCAGATAAGAACTTACAGAACTACCACTACTATCGGAAACTGCAGATATCTGGTGCAAACCAATATTAGATGAAGTTAGCAAGATGTATTATAAATCGGTCCCATATATTATTCCGATACAATGACTTATCGATGAAAATTCAACCAAAGCACGTCCTGCGACAATTCATAATTCGTGATAAAACTCCGAATAAAATCTACTTATAATTTCATTTACCGCCTAAAAGTGGACGGAAATAAACTTAATCGACAAGACAACACTAATCTATTTAAGTCACTTCAACGTTTTTCTAAAAAATTATGAAATAAAAATCCAGATGAAACTTATTTTTAACTTATTTTTAGAATATAAAATTGATTTTAAAGTTAAGAAAATCTAATTAAACGTTATGTAAATTTTACGACTGCGCGATAAAAGCAGAGTTAACGAGCAACGTATAATGTTTTACCACCTTTTATTCTTACATTATTCGCTTAATTAATTATATATTTCGTTTGCTTCTAGGGTGAGGGGGCATGTTGGTGTGTCGGCGGTTGCTGCTGATCGCAGCCGCGATCGCGGCCTCGATCGAGGCTGGCTCGGCTAGTTACCACCCCAGCATCTCGTCGTCGGACTACTCCGGATACCCGGGCGGATACGCGATTTACTCCGGCGCGACGTCACCAGAATCCCCGTCGCCGTCGTCGAGCTCATCGACGTCCGGCCCGACGTCGGTGCCCGCCGCCGCCAGCAGCAGCATCAGCAGCGAGACGCTCTGCCGACCGTCCGAGTTTCAATGCGGCACCACCGGACATTGCGTCGCGCAGGACAAGTACTGCGACGGCGAGAATGACTGCGACGACAAGTCGGACGAGCCGAGATATTGCACCCGTGAGTACTCACGCGAACGTACGGAGACGTCGAACAAAGCAAGTCGCCGCGCCGGAGCGAATCGATACGCCGGGGTCTTTCTCTATATCTCTCTGTCTCTCTCTCTCTCTCCCTCTCTCTCTCTCATTTCTGTCGCGCTCTCTCTTTCCCTCCCATCATCTTTCAAAGATGGTCTTTATTAATACGTAATTCGGACGATAATAAATAACTCCGCCTAGTCGGTCATTTCCTGCGTGGGAAAATTCTACTATGCTGCGGTTCTATTATTGAATTTGTACATATGTACGTGCAACGGCTGAATAATACAACAGAAATCCACGAAATAATCCTCGTGCTCTCTCGTATCTTCGAAACTTGAAAAGCTTTACGTAAATTTTGCATCAGGATATCTCCATCGGGTAAAATTAATTATTATCAACTGGACAGTTGGTGATAATTGGACAGTTAAACTGGACAGTCAAATATCCACGGTGGACAAATTCATAATTAAGTGTAAAATGCGTTTACTGTGGAAACCGATATGAAAAATAGCAGGAAAGTAATTATAAATGATTTCGATTAAATGTGCAAGTGCGCATTGGCCCCTCACGCATTCACAATAGTATAAATTGCGTCATATTAAACCAGGAACGAAGTTTTCACTCATCCGAGCAGATAATATTTCAAGCTAGTAATTATTTAGCTGTATTATCATTTCAGTTCAATTCGTGTAAAAAGCAAAACTGTATCACGTCACTTTACACAGTTCATCCATGGAAAATACAATATAATATCTCTAATATATATCTATACGATAGCCTCATACATATTTGCTTTGGCCCGCAATTTGCGCTAGAAACGCAAACTATGACATAGTTTTTGTTAAATAATTGAATGGGGTAAATAATCTACTCGTTCATTATTGCTGCAATTAACACTGCATACGAAATTTAATCGATTTGTGGGGAAGGGGAGTTCAAATATAATTATGTTATACAAATATCGCATTTTCATCCGTTTGAATTTTTAATTTTCGATAATGTATGCAGCATTATTTCGATAGAATCGCAGAATAAAGTGCAAATTATTGTATTTGTGATTCAATTCCTTTATGGAATTTCAAATCCCGCATTAAAGTATACGCGATTCTAAATAATTATGTATTATTATGTGTGTGCTCCAAGTTCAGAGGCTCATAGTTTATGGAACAAGATGTGCTAGCAGAATCTTTAATCAGCATTATTATCATTTACGCGTTTGTACTGATGTATCTTGCACGAGAGTTCCTTAACCACATTGTTAAAGTCAAACGTAATATAAATAAACGGTAAATATATATGTAAATGCAGCAGACCTATAAGCTCAATGTAATATAAATATTTATAAAATCGGTGTACAAATTACATCGCGCGCGAGAAGTTAAAAGTCCATACTTTATAAAATATTATTTTATCACCTCGTGCTATAATCCGGATAATTATGCCCCGGGATTTATTTTCCGCGCATAATAATTGCGTAATAAAAACATTCCGGCTTGGCACCAGACTTCGTGCGGCTTGATATACGAAACGCGGCGCGGAAATAGTTAAGAGTTAATATCTTGTTTCAAACAATATTTTACCTCACCAGGTTATAAGCCGGACTATTCGTATTCCAACATTTTCTGCGATCAGCGGCACAATGAAAACATTCCAATCTGCAATCGGACACTGTACACTTCGCATAGAGCATAGAATACTGCACGCGCAGTTAGCCGTTAAAATTCTCTCTCGGTCACGCGTTATTTTGCCACGCCGCTGATGTGACCCGTAACGTTAATATTGTGCTATTCATTTCCCAAGCATATTTGTCACACAGCAAATATATTCTAGCCTGCAATCGGACATTGTACGGTGACGTCGGTCGGACCTACAGAGTGGAGATCCGCCGGCCGAGGGAGGATCGACTGCCATTCCTGTGTCACCTAAACTTCACTGCCGCCGGATCCGATCTCGGGGATCTAGTCCAGGTTGGAATAGAAATGATGTAGTTGTAGAAAATAATGCTGACTGGTGTGCCCAGCGTGGGAGTCTTGTCACGAGAGCCGACAGCGGGCCGACCCGCCGCGTCGGAGCCCGGATAATAATTTATATCCCCGGCTTTTACGATTCTTATCGCGTTTATTGGCGAAATTAAATCAGCTCCCGCGCTGAGTAAACATCGCGTCCTCCATCGCGGAATATGCTTACTCCTCAAATCCTTGATTCCAAACTCAAGTTTCCGTCGGGTATATTTTCGATCCCGATTGTTATTGACACATCGATTATCATATCTCGCTGCTATAATAGAATTGATGTTTACGTCGTTGGAATACGCGAGTCGCGGTCAACAGTACAAAGCAGCTCGAATATATTTCGACAACTAAATTCAAACAATAAAAATGTGTAAAATAAATGATGATTAAATAAAAATTTAAAAAACTCCCCCAGCTAAATTTCGAAACAATATAAATTAATGTTAACAAAATATAATATATAATTCTTATATTATAAAGTGCGTGCTATATTTTTAGATTCTCTTTATATTATCGTAATTTTTATAAAAATTCTCGCTTCATGATTTATTCATTTCATTGTCGGTTTTGCAAGCTAAAATATAAAGCTGCGGGATAATTAACGTGATTATAATAGAAATATTTGCTTTTATCGCAAAGAGTCAGTAAAATAACTGTATTCTAACTTTTATCTTTAGTTTTATTCCCGACAAAAAAAACCAGTTGGTCGACTGTGCACGCGGATATTCGCTGGTTCATAACTTTTAGAATAATGCCGCCGGTGTTACAGTTAACTTTTGATACCTTCACGGTCGGCCGCTTTCAATCCTTTACGTCGGAAGGATGTCCAGATGGTTTCATGACTATTCGCGAGGAAGGTCGCCCTGCGACGGGAGGACAATGGTGTGGCAGCGCGTGGGGCTACACCGTTTATTACAGCGAAACTCCTTCCATCAATCTGACTTTATATTTGCTACGTTTATCAGAGCAGGTAAGAAATTGTATTAGCTCAGAGGGATACACGTTCTGATTGTTTACAATTTCGCTGCAGCAATATGGAACTCGTGCATTAGTACTTTTACAAAAGCAGTCTCTAGTTTAATTCTTATTATACTTAATTTTTTTTAGGAAATTTTTGAGAAACATTATTGCTGTCTAATTATTGCTATCGCTATTTAATCCACAAATGATAGATCAGTCGTAGAGTGGAAACATGGAGTAGAAATGGTTGTTAAAACGGGAAACGTCTGTGAAAAAATTTGACGACGGGCCACTTTTGAGAAGTTTTCGCGCTGAAAATGTTCTACGGGAAATAAAAGAAACGTGGTGCAGCTAGTGTTACACGGTCGCACGACGCGATTTCGGAGAATTTTTCTGTCTGTAGGGTATCGGCTACAACTTCGACTTCAAGCTGTCGTACAAGTTCTTGAGAAGAAGCGAGGCGCATCTCAGATACGGGAACAGCAGTATGTCCACATGGCGCGGCGAGCTCGTGAACGGCACGTATTGCGATCGCGTCCTCACCAAATGCGATACTAGAGCTTGTCGACTACAGTCGCCGAATTATCCCGGAGTTTACCCCAGGAATGTCACTTGTTACTATCGGGTGGAGCAAAACCGCGCGCCGGTGGGTCATCGCGCCCTACTTGCCGTTAGTCAACGGAACAGTCACAAGATACACATTAAGGACCAGGTCGTGAAGTACGACAGGAGTCAGCGCGTGCTGAGGTACATTAACAATAATGCTGATAATGTTAACGGAATCGATACTTAGTAAAACCGCGATGAAACGTTCGCTTAACTTTAATGTATCGCCGATAATTTTCCGCGTGCACGTTTTTACAATGCAAGGGAGAATGCACGGAGATAGAATATACGCGAGCGAGACAAATGTAAATAACACGGTGGATGGAATTTCAAGTAAAATCCGCGTGCTTTTCACAAGGGTGTGGGATCAGTGCAACGTCGTGCAAGATTACTTGACGGTATATGACGGTGGTTCAACCTCAGACCGAGTGCTCGTAAGACTGTGCGGAGGAGATGCGGTACCAGACATCGTCAGCAGCCACAATACGATGCTGCTGGAGTTTCATACATCCCCGTACGACAATCCGTTTCATCCGGTTCCACTATCCTTTTTGCCAGGATTTGAGCTCGAAGTTCAGGTAATTTTCGCGAGTATTGTAATATTTTTTTAGAAAATTGTATCGCTACAAGTTGAAAATTATTTTATTAGAAATTGCCAAATTCATGAAATCTAATTGTTTATGATTATTTCGATGTTACTAATGTAAGCTATTTGAGCGTGGCGTTTTATCGAAATAAATAAAAATTAAGAATATTGTGAAGATCTTCTCTTTACGCATTATATATTTGTGAATATATAGGTGATCTTCGTCGACGAAAAATCTCGGAGTTTTGTGAAAGAGAACGAAAATTGCGATTTTTATATATCCGGTGATGAGAATTCATCGGGGATTCTGGAAAACCCAAAGCATTCTTTACCACCGAACACCACCTGCCGCTATCATTTTCAAGGGAAGCTCAACGAAATTGTTTGGTTATCGTTCGTCAAATATTACGCCGCTAGCGTGGAAGCTGCTGCGAGCATCGACACTACTGCTGATTGCAATGCAAAACTTTTGATATGGGACGGTGATATCACGGTAGACAAACTCACCGCCAGCCGAAAGGTACGTATAAAATCTATTATTTTAATAATGCAATGTAAGTTCAACAAATTAAGAGAAGAAATATTTCACTTCCGCGGACAAATGTCGCATTTGTTGTAAAAAAAAAAATGGTTGTAAAAGAAAACTCGGTTAAATTTTTTTTTTTTCTCTGAAGCCTAAAGACATGATAATTATTATTGATTAACGATTTATCGAAAATGTTAACATCTACGTTGCACAATGTAAAACCATCAAGATATCAAAATTCATGTCAATTTACGTCGAGATAACCGAATGCTCGGCATTTCTATCTTGACACGTCTGTGTAATAATTTTGCAGAACATTACACTGATGGGACAGTTCTGTAAGGACGACATACCGCGGCTATGCGATCACAGTCTGCTACGTAACAGCAGCCGTCATACGCGGCCGTGCAGCCTCGCGGAGAGTTACGTGTCAACCGGCCGCGATCTCACTCTGGAGCACATATTGCGTCAGGGTAGCGCGCTCTACCCGATAAGCTTCGTCCTGCGTTACGAGTTCGTGCACGAAGCCGTCTCGTGTAACCACGTGTTCGTCTCGGCATCGTCGATTTCGCCCACGTCTTCCACGTCGTCCTTATCGTCCTCCCCCTTGTCGTCCAATGCCGGCAAGTTTGCGTCGCCGAAGAGCGTGTTCTTCTACGGTCGCGGCGGCGCGCAGAATCTGAGCTGCGTGTACAGATTCGAGGCCGAGCCCGATCACAGGATAGAGCTGTCTTTCGTTAAAGCCTCCTTCGGCGGTAAAAACTGCGCGTCTTACGTGGACCCATTGGTGAACCGATGGACGTGCGACCGGCGCATGGCGGACATCAAAAAGTTTGGCATGGCTGATCTTGTTATCGCTGAATATCCTTGGCAAGGAGTCGAACTCGTACGTATGACGCAATAAGACCTCTCTTTTTTTTTACCTCGTAAAATCTATCAGAAGTCTGAATTTCTATTTAGATCTAGTAGAGCAGTCTAATTCATCTTTTATTTTATTTCCATTCAAATTATCATCAAAAAAAATATACTTTAAATATCTGAATATATTTATTTCTCTATATTGCAAGCAATTCAGAAATCTATTTTTTAGATGATTATTAACTGATCCTTGCGTATCCGTGCAATTTTCTGTTCACAGGTTCGTGATTGTCTATGCTCGAATATGAGCGAGAAGCTCATCGTGCGGACGCTGACGTCAAACGTTGTGGAGGTCAGATTCACCGTCACGCTCATGAACGTCACCCAGGATTACCGGGACTTCTTTTTCGAGGGGGAATACCGCTTCGTTCCCGTGGGCGCGGATTCGAGCGAGCACGGGTGCTCGACGAAGCTCGAAGAGCGACGATTGCGCGGTACCAGCGGCGAGATATCCCTCAGAAGTCCTCTGCCGCGGGTGATCTCCAGCTTGGCCGCGGTGGAGGAAATCCTGACGAATATGGAGGATTTCACGGCGACGCAGTGTGTGAACGAGCCGTGGCTGATCGAGCCCGAGGACGCGCGCATCAATTTTCTATACTTGAGAACCGCCGGTTATAGCATCACTCTCGACAATGTCGAAGAGTGCACAACTTTGAACAGAATCGTCGTCTATTCGGCCGCGAACACGAAAGAGCGCAGCGTGATCTGTCCGGAGGGTGGCGTCGACACGACCAGGACCGTCGATTTCTTCTCCGGTGGTTGGAATTACAGCGCGGTGAACGCGAGCGTGGCGATGGCGCAGCACGCACGCAGTTTCGTCGTCGAGTTCCTCCAGAGAGAACCCGGCTTCTACGCCGTCACGTGGATCGCAATCTCCAAGCGGCGTCCAGACGCGCCCACCACGTCGAATGCGGGCGCTAACACATTTGCGATATTACCCGTGGATGATTGCCCGTACAAGTACGTTACGAAAAATCCAATTTATCCAAATATATAAAGTAAAAAATCTTTTTCTCAATCTCTGTATCAATCTTCTTAATTATCATTTGCTTTGAAAGAAACCATGATGTGGAAGAGTAATAGTATTTTATTTAAACTGCTCTCTCGAGACATCTCTTAATTTTCATCTCTTTCTCTCTCCCTTTCTCGTTAGATGTCCAGAGATCCAGGCATGCATCAGTTCAGTTCTATGGTGCGACGGCGTGCGTCACTGTCCCTCGGGCTTCGACGAGGAGGAAGCCAATTGCTCGTATCGTTTCGGAGTGACTCTGCTTTACGTGGCGGTGGGCGCCGGTGCCCTGGGCATATTTCTGATCCTGCTGCTGGCCACCGGTTGCCTAAAGTACTGCTTGTACCGGCACAAAGCGCGCAAAAAGAAGAAGAACGTCGCCCTGAACGTCAATCATCTCCACGTGAATCATACCCATCACAACAACGGCTTGACCGGAAGCCGACTGAGCGGCCGCTACAACCTAGCCACGCCCCAGGAGATGTACCTGGAGAATTACGGGAAGGACAGTATTTGTTGACAATACGCCATTGCCAATATCGAGACCACCGTGTGAATAGTCATGATTTTTAAATGCCTACCTCGCTCTGGCCCCCTCCCGCCCCTTACTCCACCCTCTTTCCCGAACTTTCCGCTATCCGCGAAGTAATGGACCGGAGTGTACGGCAGCCAGACACTCCCATCCCAGAGGCACACACAACACGCATGTTTACACGCGCCATACATACACACACATACACATATACATACTCTCGCAGTAATCGTACGAAATCCCGTAGAATATATCCGAAGTACATAGAAGCGAGCGTATGAGACGTGCTTAGGATAGTACTTGGTCGAAAGCGAAAGTGCATTCCGTCATCGTGTAATCGAATTCTCTGCTCCTCTGATCGAATCATAACGATCGGCTTGCTGTGAATAAGCGGATTTCCGTTCGATTCATTAGACCGGAGGGAGGGATCGATGGTTAGCTTGCCGTTGATTCATCGTACAAGGATGGATCGCGTGCCGACGAGAGGCGGCTGTAAACGCATCTCGTACGCTCGCGTATATGGCATTTACGATAACACCGCAGTATCATGGTAGGTTTAGACACACACGATTTAGGAGTATAAAAAGGTACTCACGCGAATGGACGAAGAGAGCGGACGAAATTGGCGTTTTTACGCATACGCGACGCTTCTGAGCAAACGGTAGAATACGCTGTTTCCGTTGAGTGCACTTTCTACCGGTTTATCGAACAAATGTCATAAACGTACGCGACGACGAGGCACGATGATAAAGGTAACGAGATGAAAGAACGGAGTAAAAGAACGCTAAGGATCGCGCGCGAGAGAAAGAGAGAGAGAGAGAGACGTGATTTCAGATAGCTGCGTGAATGACGCGACGCAACCGACGGGAGGAAAGACTACAGCATAGAGTCGTGGAAGTGATACGCGAATGATATACGCGAAGAGGCTGTGCTGGGAAACGGTTAAGCGTACTTATTTGTACTCCTTTCTGATCCCCTGATTGCGTGTTCCAACGATTCCCGCTTAATGGCAACGCCACTTTCGTTTTTGTAATACGAGAGAAAACCGATAAAGAGTTTAATCGCGATTAGATTAAAGTGCATCATTGACGTCGCGCATCGTCTATCTCGAAAATCGTTGTGATCGGACTCTGCACATCACACCTGTCTATTTCGATCTTCTCTTCACTTACGATCGAACTAGCCGTAGGCTCCGTTTACGTTACTGCATTGTTTCCAATTAGGGTGACTAGGCTAGACAGTTTCTTATTACGGAGATATACCGATTGTTAAACTTGTCGTAACGTTAGGATTTTATTGAATGTCAATATCATCGTGCATTTATAATTTGCTAACCCAGATGTATGAAGAATTCAATATATATGATTTTCCTCATCCACAAAATGTTCTAAAAAATTTTATTAAAAAAATTTTATGCTATAAATAAAATTAATTTATGATTAGCTATCTAATTACTCTTTTACGCTATAAAATAAAAAATGTTTTATTACTTTTTTGTGATGTAATCATTACTGTTTGATGCAAATCTAGTGTAGCCACCCTCAAAAATTATCTGCATTATATTATATTATTGTATATTAATACTCGCTGCGGATGACAACGCAGAGATCCGATACAGCTTTATTTCACGTCGATTCAGCAATCATTTTTTACATTATCTATATTCACGATTCTCGAATACCGTAAAACTTCATAAGTGATTTGTGGAAAACGGCATGATACGTAGATAACTCGCATAATCTAGGTTCGGTATCGATACGCGTGGCTTGAATGAGACGTAAGTAACCTATATGTAACTAATCGAATGCCGAGGGAGCGTGTAATCCCGTTACGAGTGTGTTAAGCAAGCGCCATGGACGCAATTTCCACGCGTTAGCCTATTATAGACACTGTATGGTAAAGCGCGTCTAACGTACGTCTGTATACTGTGATAGAAGTAAGCGTATCAACAATCGGAAAATAAATCTCTCGCGCAAACTCAATATTCGCATATGCGCATCCTCGAAGTCACCATCACCGAAGATGGATCACGACCTTTCGATACAAATAAAATCTTCCTTGGCGATATCCTAACGCGGTCCAGCGTCAAACTTTGATTACAAGTCAGGTTAAAAAATAATTAAACAGTGTGGTCCAAATTTGAAATGTACATTTACGAGACATAACTTACTTAATTGTAACTCGCATACTTTAATAGAAAATTTGAGAAAAAATTGATGGAGACGAATTTATAGTGAGCTATTGGACGGAATAGCGGTATAAGTCGTCAAAAATAAAAAAGTTTAACATGTAAAACACAATTAGAAAATAAAATTTTAGATACATTTAAAAACGTAGAAAATGACCACAATAAAGCAACTAAATTTGATATCGTTTACTTTTATAAACTTTCTTTGTCGAATAAGAAAAAAATAACTTATACCACTGTTTCGGTCGACGGCCAAATATAATTTATACATTGCACAATTTTATATAAAACGACTGTAAAGTTAGAATTGATTAGAATTTATTGCAATTTTCGAGATTTTTTGATGTTAATTGTATTTTGGAAACTTGTATATATTCCCCTGACAAAGTTGGAAAATTTTCGCGGAGACGCTGGTCGCCTTAAGATATCTTTCGCTGGTCTCATGAATCGCTCCGTGAATAATTCACTACCTAAGACATCGTCTACCTACGAATACTGCCGCAGTTATTATTTATTCATAAAGTTTTATAAGTCTCTTTCTACCCGAATACGAAAAACTGTTCGAGTATATGACGTTCTGTATGTTATAAGACATGGGAAATCCGATGCGACTAACGTACTAGCGAATAACGTAGCATGCGTCAGAGGCGAAACTGTGGCACACGCCAGGCTCCTCGATGTGTTAACCGCGCGATTGCAATATATTAAAAAAACATGTTAAAAATTTGCTCTAACATATCGAAAGTTCGAAATTAATTTAAGCGCGCCTCCATCTATTATTACCTAGCGAGACTGAAGTAGCAAATCATTTTCATGGATGACGAGGCGGACTTCTCACGGAAGGAAATTCTCCCGATTCTCTCCTTTTGTATGAGGCCGTACCGCGAGAAGTAAAAAAAGAAAAATGTGTTTCGTGAAATTTTTTATATATCCTCGGTAGTTCTTGCAGATCTCTCACGATAAATCTGTCTATAAATAAATAAACGCGTAAGATCCTCGACGACGGAAATCGACGTAATAAACAATGTGGAACGTATCGTTTCTATCTGCCGAAGACGACGATTTATATTATCTCCCCAGCATAAAATGCCGATGTGACTCGACGTTAAAAAACAAATACATACATGGAAAGTCGTTCCTGTCGTCGCCTGTCGTAGCACCGAGCGAATCAGCACCGAGTTTAATTTCTTTCGACGAGTGAAAAATTCAAATCGCGGAGCATGTAGTCATTATGAAATTTATAAGACTCGACTCCACGTCGCGCTCAATCGAGAATGCGTCCTACGATTACGAAAAATATAGTAATAATGCATGTATGTAAGAACGTACACGAAAAAAAAATGCCGTAGCACAAACTGGCTCGCACACATGTAGTTAAAAAAAAGTGGATGGTAAAGAGTTTTGAATCAAAGAGGCCTTGATTCAACGACGTTTCTAAGCAAGTATTACGCGTTACACGATGTATTGTAATCCCGTGTTTATAATTTTAATAAAATACCATCGCGTTAAAGAAACCCAGCAGATCAGCTGTCGAAAGTATTGATTCATCATTCTCCGAGCACAATTTTCTCTTCGACTATAAATTCACTCATGAAGAATCATATGAAGAAATAATATTCAACGTGCATGTAAGCCTGAGCAATGGACGATGATCGCAGCCAAAAAAACTACTCATCGTTGGAACTTCTAAGATCATTTGAATTATCTCTTTCATTAAATTCTTATTTTTAAATGAACAATATCGTAATCTAACTATTATAGTTGGCATACCCTGGAGAAAAGATAATTAATAGAGTCGTGTATAATTACATAATTTTAAGAAATATTTGTAAAAAAAAATGAAAACTCTAAGGAAAAAATGTCATAAAGTAACTCTAGCTTGAAAAATATTATTTTATGTGTCCCCTTCTTTTCACATATATAAAAACATCTCCATAAACTTTTATATTACTTAAATAAACTGCTTGCATTCGTTCAAATTCGAAGTAACCATAGGGATGTTTTTTAATCTCAATCCCTTGAGATGCAACGCTATTCATCTTTCGCCCTAATTTAAGCTTGTAAATCCACATCGTGGATTTTTTTTCGACTCTTTGCCTGCCTTTGAGCTGATTTTTGAAGCAACACACGTCATCACGTAGGTCTTTCACATACAAAGTTTACTACATCAAGAGCGACTGTACATCAACTGCAGCAGAATGAATCAATGTAAAAACCTTCGGAAATGCTTTAAAAGAGAACTCTAAATGTGAAGAAAAATATGCATAAGAATATTACAGCATTTGTTTTTACAAGTAAAATCTTGTAATAAAAATACATAAATAGAACGAAAAATATTTCTTATAAAATATAAAATGTGATTCTCTGTTTCACATTTTCGACTTCAAAATAGATGTTCCTATTTTCTGATTAATAGTAATATTGTCTGTTTTACTTTCATTCGCACGATCCGATAAATTTATACTGCGGAAGGCATGCTTCGTCGCGTCGCGATCGTGATATTGCGCGCGATATTGCGCGCGACATCAACAACGCGCTCCTACGTTGTTTATCTCTTGACATTTTCCATCCGTCAATTTTCAGTCCGCGAAAAATGTAAAACCGCTCGCGCGTAACTCGGCTGATTCATCGCATCGATTTCGTTTCGAAATATTTATCACATCGCGGACAGATCTGCAAAAAGAAAAGGATCTTCGAATGTCAAACGGAAGCGCATCGTTCATTGATACGGCGATACACGGCAAACTGGAACCACCGAGATCGCTGCACGGCGTCGAGGATGCCGAGATCATTTGGGACACGATCACACGGCGATTTCCGAACGCGGCGCCGCTTCTCTGCGAAATGGAGACGGTGATCGAACGGGCGGAGGATCTGCTGCAGCAGCTCAAGACGCCTTGCACTCAAGAAAACGGTATGCGATTTCTCGCGATGTAAAAAGTTAAGTCAAGCGAAAGACTACATAATATATGGATCGTGGCGTGTACATTGGCAGTCAAAGAATTCTGATTCTTTTATAATTCGACGCGTTTCACAATTTAACATGTTTAAAATACTGAGTTTAAGCTTCAAATTAATGATTACAGTAGCGTGATCTAATTATGTAAATAGCATGCATAATTCATCCGCGCACTTGGCTAACTTTATTATAATTATTGCGTTATTAAATTAATGGTATATATGATATAATGGGGTACACAAATAATTTATTCATGAGGAAAATTTATCTTTCATACAAACGTAATATACGCGACCTATATTTATTAATCTTCTCAATTATATCATGGACTTATTGACCAAATTATCGTCTGCAATCATTATTGTCAATCTAGTTTAATAAGTAAAAATGTTATTTAAATATTTACGACGCAAATCATAATATAGCGCGCGAGCTAATTTATTAAACCCGATATAGCCGCTTATACCTTCAATTATAACACGAAATTATTCATCAAATTATCATGAATAATAATTTTATATCTAATTTCGGTCTTTAAATATATTTTAGAAATTTTAAAAATTGCAAATTGGATACTTTCAACGTGTAACAAAGTTTAAACTAGTTTGCGATGTTTCACACTTGTTTGATATTGCAGACACGTCTAGCTCATTCCATACTCCGTATTCCCGGGAATCTAACGCGACGATTTCGATGGTATCTGATATAGAATCGTTCGCTGAAGAAACAAATGTACGTAGAGTCGCACATTCTCCGCTTATTGAAACACGTTCGATATTTTAAATGAAAAGATACTTTTTCCCAGGTTTCGGAGCGTCCCGAAGCCACCGAGAATATTGAAACGCAATTTATGCATGATATTCACGAGGATATTCAAGTGGATTTAGAGTTTCAACAACATAGTGAACAATCTATTCGACGCGAGAAGGAAGACCCCGGTCAAGAATATCATTTGAATTCACCTCCCAGACTCGATGAAGTCGTTCAACATTTCAAAACAAGTTCGACATATAAATATCGCAATTCCCAAGGGGAATCAGACAAGGCGAATGTAGAAGATAGTCGTGATAAAAGAATCGACGCTAGTTCCGAAGAAAGTGAGTAATATAGTATTTGTGAAAAATGGAACCTTATAGAAATGCTTGCAGAGATTTGAAAGAAATTTATAACGTTATGTAATTTAGGGTTGACAAAAATAATAGCAGAACAAAATAGTTTAGAAGGATGGACAAAAGTGGCCGATGACGCACTACGAGACTGGCACGACTATACAGAAAATGTCGACATGTCTAGTACGTATAAAAAATTTATTTTGCAATAAATAATAAAATTAACTTGAAATATTCATTATTTTAGAAGATGACTCAGAAATTCAGTCAAATGTTGATAGCAATATAGATAGTTTGCTGATGATTAATTTCGATAGCGGATGTAACGAAACCGACGTTTACAAGGCGAACAAAACAGATGATGATGTAAAAATTATGAAGAATGATTTACAGGTAATAATGCTTACGTATTAAATTTGTAATATACTTGCAAAAAAACATAATAATATATGCATGGAATATTGCAACAAAAATTTTTTTAAATGAATTTCCTATAACTCATATATAATAAATATTTTCCTTACACGTTTTTATTTATCATATTATCTTAACTAAAGATATCTTTAATTTACAATATATAAAATTATTCTTGATATTTTGCAATAATGTTTAACATTAGGACGACATTGCAAACAATTCTGTAACATCTGTAAGTCATCGGTCACCGTTGACTATTCTTGAGGAATATGCAAAACGGTGCAAAGTGTCAATCAAATACGATTACAAACCGAAATCGAATCTATATGTGATAAATGGTGATCTGTATGGATTTCGTGGTAATTTATGTTTTACATAAACATTAGAATATTGTTATTTACAATCATAAATGTTAAATATTGTTTCTTCATTCGATAATACTGCAATCACTTATTAGTTAATAACTTTCTTTTGTTGTTTATAAGCCTGACGTCTAAAATGTTGCAAGTATTTCTTTATACGTTGTTAAACTTAGTTTGGATAATGTGCCAGCAATGTCTTGTGCCGAAACCCAAGATCTGGCCAAAAACGAATTGGCGGCAAAAATATTGTGGATGGTAGCCGAGCGTCAGATGGATGGCTTAAAACTTTCATCGTCTATCTGCGGATTATCGGATTTCTCCAGAGAGGAGTAAGTTCAATAAATGTAATGCGAGCTATAAATTAGGATATAAATTTAGATAACACAACGCTTGTCTTAATAATCCTCTAGAAAATAATTCCTATAACGTAAAAAAGTATAACAAAATAAATTGAGTATGAGAATAGTAATAGTTAACTTCTTTAAAGATATACATTTAGAAAATTGTCTAACCTTTTGTTTGATACTTTTTTTAGGATGTTAGAGATAATGGCTTTTAATAAAGGCGAGTTGAAAAACGCGTCGCAAAAGCTCTACAAATTTTGCCTCGAGAAAGGAGAATCTATTCCAGAGTACTGTATTCGTAACTTGAGAACAAATCAAGGGTTTATGTATACAGCACAATGCGTAGCTTTAGGTCATGTTGGAGTTGGTATGTTGTTTCCTTAGTATCCCTTTTCATACAATATTACCATCAAATAGTTTAGTTAGAAATTATGGTTTAAGTCGCGAAAGTAAGAAAATATTAATACATCGAATAAAACAAAACACGTTACATCCTAAGAGAAGCGTGAGAGATAATTTATGATATGAATCTTTTTATATAATCAATATTAGAAATATTTATTAGTTTGATTTTATTTATTAATTTGATATCTCCAGATAGTCAAATCTTAGCAATGTTCACAAATTAGCAAAAAATTTGCTGTCAATCTGCCAACATTGCTCTGACACTTTACTTACTGAGCATATTCTAATATTTTTAGGACAAGGCCTGAGAAAAGATAGTGCTAAGGTAGCAGCTGCCGAAAATTTATATCAAAAATATATTCATGAAGCGAAGCAACAAACAACATAGATATCACACGAAAATTCCGCTTAAATCATTTACTAAAATATAATCTACTACATATTTGATTTCGTTAATAACAAAATTGCAATAAATATCAAATATAAATAAATGACTATCGGAAATTTCAAATATATATTTTAATTGTATATACGTATATCACAAAATTATGTACATATTTAAAGACTGAAATTACAGTTCATATTTATTTTATGTCCCTCCCGAAATTGTCCTATTCGAACGCGTGTTACGATTTACGATAATCATGAGAATAAATTGTAGTTTGTGTTTATTTCCCACCCAAAATTATCCTACTCTGTTGCAAAATGACTCTCTAAGTCTCACTCGGTGAGGATGAAAATATAATATCGCGAGTTCGCCCATAAAAATTTGCAAGTTCTTTTTCGAGGACGATAAGCGTTCAAAGGTTAATGGTGATTTCATATAATTCCATATAATTTTATATTATTATGTCATGCGTATGTACGCAATGTACTTTCATACGCAAATCGTATTTCTCAACAGAGAGAAACCGAGAACGACCATCGTTTTATGCAGGATACTAGCGCAGAGCTTGGCTCAGTTTCCGCTAGTTGCGTCCAAAATTTGTGTTGATAGTCGACCATTATTCAATGGTCGATCGTATCAGCGTTGTTTCGAGATCCGTGTTCGACCATTATTAATGGGACCACGAACTTCGAATTTCCGTGCTCAACCAAGGAATCAATTAAGCCTTGGGACCACGGATGCATAGGTAGACTAGGAAAGATTTACGAAGAAATTTGCATATAGCAAAAGTAAATATTATAAAGTAAATATTATTATTTATATCATCATTTATTCATTTACATTTATGTAAAACAAATCCTTTTCATTTTTAATTTATATTTGTAATATGTACGTATATATTTCAAAATTTTTTTATTTTTGCTTTTCTACGCCAATTTGTATAATATTTAACCCTGGAAAAATATTAAAAGATGAACCATTTACGGTAGGAAAAAGAAAAGAGAAATAAAAGTACACACTTACACGGAAAAATAAATTTTGCTATTGCAGCAAAATCGTCGTTGCTGTTGCACATATTAGATGTAATAGTTATAAAATTTCGCTATGATAACTAGTTTCTCAAATTATTTGGTAAACCAGAAAAATCTATTTTGTTGAAAGAATAGATCAATTTTGTGAAGTATATTTGTTCGAAAAAGCACATTACTTTACTATTACAACAAAATAATTTATTTCTAAAAATTGCATTTTTCTATTGCAACAAAATGTATATATAATAATAATTGTTGCAAATACAAAGTTTGATGGCAAAATAAAAATCAATTTCTCATATATAATAACGATATAACTTGCAAATTTACCAAAATTATTTTCAGAAAATAAAATTAATATTCCTAACAAATCTCTTTACTGTTTAAATTATAACAAATTTTGCCATGATAACACAAAATTTACTGCGCTAGCAAATTCTTTTTTCCCGTACATTAACAATTTTTATAAATACTAGGATAAGTTAGAAATTATCCGAATTATGTTTTACTTAAAAAAATTGCGGATAATTTCTGACTTGCCCTCGTACTTTATTCATGATATCAATATATTGGGTTATTCGCAAAGTTTGTAACAATTTATGTTTAGATCCATCTTTATCGTTGTTTTTGTCTTTGGCAATCTTTAATAACTTAAACATGACTGAGTAAAGGTGGACATATAAAAATTATTTTTGATTTTGTCATAAAAAGAAATTCTGTAAACTTTCCAAATAACTCAATATATTTTGCTCTGATCTATTATTCATAAAATATATTCCAAGGTTAAATATCTATCGACGAATCTAAGCCCTAGTCTGCCCATTTTAAAATAATGGATCTATAAAATTATTCATTTTTTATGTTTATATTTATAATATCATTATACATAATTCTACAATGCTTTACAACATTATATTGATGTAATTTTCTTTATTGAGGGTTAAAATTTCTAATATTTTATTGTATTCATATATACGAGGATAAAACTATAAATAAAAAAATTATTTTATTCCCAAATTAATTAAAAATATCTCAAATGTTAAATAAAAACAAATTATTCCTCGTATAATATCCTTATCTCTTAATGCTCTTCAATTCATATATGTATTAATACATTGCAAACAAATCGACATATTCTGTATTTGAAACGTTTTTGAAACATGTTTTTGATTTACGTTTTTCGAATAATCTTACGCGGCTTTGTCAAAAAGAATTTAATTTAAATTTGTTAAAATAATATATAATTTCATTCTTCGAGTAATTAACATAATTGTATACATAATTTAAAATATGTTGAAAATACGCAAATAAAATTTTTATAAAATTAATACGCTGTTTACACTGTATTAATTTTTAGAGTATTTTGTATTATAGATCCATCATTCTAATAAAAAATTAAAGACAAATTATATTCACTCACCAAAACGATATGCAGCAGTGGAGTTGTTGTTTGATTGATCTGCAAAGCTGATCTATAACACACAAAAGTAAATTCAAATTAGAGCTGTGTTTAAAATAATTAATATTTAAGAAATAATAATTACACACATTGATTTTTTATTCATTTATCTCTGAAAATATCTAAACAGACAAAAAATAATCAAGAAAATGTTTGATTATATAAAATAATAATAAATATGTAAAAAACTTTTAATATTTATAAATATTAAATGTTGTTAATATTGTATTGAATATTTTACTAAATACTTTAAATATTTTATGCAACATTTTGCAAAGAACAGATAATAAGTAAATAATCACTTCAATCTAATTCAAGTACAAATTAGCATGTATATTTTTATACTCGACTTTTTCCGAACTAAATAATATTTAAATAATAAGCGAATAATAATATTCACCAAGAATAAGTTTAGAGTATATTACTTAGAGTATTGTTGTGTACTTTGTCTGCTGCAGAAATTCCGCCTTAGCAGCTCCTCATCACCTATATTAATGAGTTGATGAATACCGTAAACTCGCACTTATTGCGCTTCTAGCTATACCTGAAGAAATAATATATATTTTAGTTATTATAACTTATCATATTTTTATGTTACTATGTATTATTACACAATAAATTATGCAAATATGCAATAAACATTTTAATAAAAATATTTTCAAACATTTTAATAAATTACAATATACAAATTGTGATTATATATATGTATGTAGCGATGATTATGTTCACATTTAAATAATAGGCGAATAATAATGCTTACCAACTAGAGTATTCCTATGTGTTTTATCTGCCACAGAAATTTCGCTTTAACAGCTCCTTATCATCTCTGAAGAGAGATAAACCACAAACTCGTACTTATTAAATACGCGAACTTCACTTTCACTTGTCACAGATTCACATTAGAAATTTACTTTGCCGCGACACACGAAATGTAAACTCGGAATTCTACTACTTGCCGTAAAGCCGAATCTATAATGTGCTTTTTGGTTTTTTCTGCCTTTTTGCCTCTATGTAAAGTAGTATTTTTCTTCGGAAATTTAGAAAGGACAAATTGTAAACGACGATATTTCTTGACTCCATGCGATAAACACATGAAAAACAAAAATACGAAAGATAAAGAGCAAGAAACCAATACACAAGAAGCACATTGTAAATCAGGCTTAAATGTATAATTATAACCGATACTATAACCGCACTCAGCGTGAGAGAGACGAAAGATGAACGTGTTTTGACGATCACGCGGCATCATTACATATAAATATTTTATCCGACTTTACTCCGGCGAGCTAAATTTTCGATACGCTATCTCTAGTGCAAATGATGCATGAACATAGTCCATACATCGAAAGCTATACTCACTGACAATGAGTGACATCGTATCGGTTTCAGTCCACGGTGTACCCACGGTATCGCGAACATCTACGACAAATAATACGTTCCGGTAATCGCCCGTCACTTTAATCTACATTTCCCATACCAATTCGTATACCAAACTTGTTATGCATTTTTAACGAGATAAATAAGCAAGAACAAGCGTCTGATCTCCGAGTCCGCGCTTTGTGTCATCCGAAATATGCAATAAAGTAATATTTTTCATGATGGCCGCAAGATGGCGATTGAGCTAACGTCGATTATCGATAAATACGTTATCTGCATTGCCCTCCGATAGATTGTATCATTATGACAGTTGTATTATTCGTATCAGCTTGAAACGCAATGTATATACTGGCGTAATATTGCATTCTACAATCAAACCGACGTGATTAATAAAAATGATTATATCAATAGTTGAAAAGTAATAGATATATAACGCGTGACGTATCGATGTTGATAGAACTAAGTTACTTTGTGCCCTATCTACACCGAAGGATGATCCTGCTTGTGGCTCATCCGAGCGAGTAATGTAGACGCATTGAAACACATTGAAAATCACACTGAAGGCGAAAGTGATCGGATGAGCCACAAGCAGGATCATCCTTCGGTGTAGATAGAGCATTACCCATGTCGAATGTATTTATGCGCGCCATCTTCTAGTCGGCATGATAACTTCTATTTGGCCGTTTTGAATCAGAAAGCATCGCGAAGCGCGCATTCGGGGAGTCACCGTTTATTTTACTTATTATAAGAGCATAACGAGTGCGAATATTTGTTAGAAGTGCCGATTAAAGTTACGGGCGATTACTGGAACGTATTATTCGTCGTTGATTTTTGCGATTAACTATGGATGCTTTGTGGAAACCGATACGCTCTCAGTGAGTATGGCTTTCGATGTATAAATTATGTGCATGCGCCATTTACATTAGAAGTAGCATATCGAAAATTCAGCTCCGGAATAAAGTCAAATAAAATGTTGTTTTTATCTGATGATGCCGCGTGATCGTCAAAACACGTCGTTCATCCTTCGTCTCACTCATGTCAAGTGCGGTTATGTTATCGGTACAGTTGTACGTTTGCCGTAAGTAGAATTCATCTCAAGTTTGCATTTTGTGTACCGCGGCGAAGTAAATTTCTGACGCGAATCTGTGAAAAGTGGAAGTGAAGTGTGCGTAATCAATAATAAGTACGAGTTTGCGGTATTCATCGACTCTTCAAGGATGGAGGTGATGAGGAGTTGCTAAGGCGGATTCTATAGCAGATAAAGCATACAGCAATACTCTAGCTGGTAAGCACTATTATTCGCCTATTATTTAAATATGAACATAACATACATATGCATAATCACAATTTGTATATTGAAATTTATTAAAATGTTTGAAAATATTTTTATTAAAACGTTTATTGAATATTTGCACAATTTATTCCATAATATTACATAGTAATATAAAAAATGATAATTTATAATAACTAAAATATTGATCTATTTCTCCAGATACAGCTAGATGCGTATTTAGCTAGAGTACAACGAATGGTGAGTCAATTCATTTTTTATACCTGCGTATTACATATAAAATACTAATATCACGTCTTTTTACTTGTCAATATTCGCTGTATAATTACTATATGTTTTGGTAATTGCATTGCCATCTACAATTATGTCTTTTACTGCATTGAAAGATTTATTAAACTCATAGTCTAATACGTCAGTATGCTCAAACTCATACGGTTTACAAGATAAATATGTCAGTTCAGTAAAAAAGTTATTTGAACTGCTTGATCTGTTCTTTTTACAAGAAATAAGAGATATTTTTATGGTATTACTCTCATGGCATTTTGGCAACAATCCAAGGTAGCTTTCCAGTTTTCTTAAAAGACCAGTAATCATACAGAAGCTTGCCAAGTATAAGAAATATTAATGACGCTAATACGATGTTCAAAATGTCGAGGGGATGGAGCCAAGCATCTTCATTTGATGAAATGCAGATTTCTGTCCGGGTAAGATCGCGAATCTAAATGTCATTCAATAATATTAAAACACAATGTAATCGAGCTGAATTACATTATCTATATTTATTCCTTAATAACTTGGTTTCATGAAAAAGGCATGTAAATAATTACCTGCTTGTTGGAGATATCGTTATCACTTATGAAAGCACATCGTATATCGTTGATATCCTTTACTATACTTGGATGCCTAATTAAAAGATCCTAGAAAAATATATATGCAAATAAATTAATAGAAATTAAATATTTACAATATCAACTATCTTAAATTAAAGTCAAGAATTTATAAATATCGAAATTGTAATTATTTGGCATTACCAAGTAGATTTATTTTTGTTGAATTTCTCTTATTTCTTTTTATTTTTATTTATCCATTTTGATTCTTTAATAACATAAAAAATGATTGATTGCCAGTTTTTGATTTTTTTAAATAATATAAAAATTATATGCAAACTAAATTGCTAATTTAATCGTACCTGGAAGCTCGGTGTAAAATGACAATCGCACGTCCACGAATTGTTTCCAAGATACAGACCAGCTGCATTGCTATTGTGCAGTAACGCGTTTTCCAGAGCATAAGTAGGCAACTGAAAAAGACGTCAGAACAAAGAATCATAAACTATATCTATAGTCTCATTATGGTTCTCTTTATTAAATAGCGACAAACTATATTCGATCCGCAAATAGCGCGGTGATACTTTATAATCTTCTTAAATTGCGTATCTAGGTTCTTAGCCGTCTACCGCGTACCACACGGAATCAAGCAATCAATTTTGTGAAGTGGGTTTTCTCTTCTCATAATAATTTAATAATTTTAATAGATCTAAAAACTAACATCAGTGAGTTTATTTCCTCGAAGATTAAGCAGTCGGAAACGATCTAGCCAATCTGATCCTTCTAGTTTAACAATAGATTCCATCAAATTGTCGTTTAAGTAAAGATCCAGTACTGACTTGTAAGTAGGATTTGTCGTAAGTGGAGTTAGGTCCTTAATCTGCAATAAACAAAAGATTAGATTAAAAATACTTTAATTACTATACATGTGAATGTTTACTTTTAACATATACATATAGAAAAAAAATGCATATTATACAAGAAAAAAGAATAGAAAAAAATAATTCTAATATAATATTTTATTCTTTTATTTGATATTTGAGAAACACTCAAAAATTATCAAAATGTATGTATATAATGTCTGTGTTTGCAAAAAACAATAATTATTAATTAAAATGTCGAGAATTAGATAAAAGAACCTTATTTCCGGTTAAACGAAGAGTCGTTGTATTTGCGGGTAAGAAACTGGGCATTTCGGTTAGACCGCGATGGCTGCAATTGACTGAATTAAAGGTTATAAGTTGCTTCTGCGTAAATGTACCCGCGCCAACCACATAAATCAGTTCACAGTCGCAAATTGTTCGTTTGCATTCTTCTTCCAACGTCTGGAAACCAAATTCAAGATTCAACAAGATCGAAATTTAATACCCCAAAGCTGCTTCTACGTGTTAGCTATTAATTGCAAGAAAAGGGTGTATTTTCTTGTTACCGCGATTATCTCGACGACTGAGACAAGTGGTCTTCCATCATACGGTGTAGTGCAAAGCAATTTGTCTTTGTCGACGACTTTGCTCGCAGTTGATCCTTCGCTAGAATCCAAAATCCACGCTGTATCTTTCGTACATCTCAATGGATTACCTGCGTCAGTACATCATTAATCCATGACGCAAGCGTTAATTGAGTGTAATTTTGATCAAACAGCTTATTGTTTCAAATAACAAAAATATTAAAGCATTTTAAACAATTTAATACAATTTTGGTTAGCATTTCTTTTTAATTTTGACCATTCCTTTATTTATATGCTTGTAAAGAGATTCCAAATCTTGGCAAAAAGTTTTTAGTGTTCTAAAATTTTTTTTAATAAAAAATTAGAGAAATTATGCTTACCAGTTAGATGAATGTGGTTTAATGCTAGTGTACCAAAAGCTGTAATGTTGATTTCTTCGAGAGCATTGTTTCTTAAGTCAAGATATTTCAAAACCGGTAGATTAGAGAACGCATCTTTTGGAAATGTATGCAGCTTCGTGCCAGTCACGTTGATTTTCTGTCAATGCAAACACATCTACCTCTAAGCTCTCATAATTATACGTAAAATAAATCTTGCAATAAAAAACGAATTTTCATGTTCAATATTTTTCCACGTAGATTATTAGCTTCTATTTTTTTCTTTGACGGCAGACAGGGAAATCATTGAAATTTTATTATCGCGTTATTGTCCATGAAAATTCGAATAAAAAACTTTAATAAAATTTAGATTTGCTTTTCAAGCGTTTGACTAATATTTTTTACCTCGAGATTTTGCGCTTCAAACGAAAATGCAGTTGATAATCGCGTTAAATTATTACTGTTCGCGATTATTAACTTTCGTAAGAACGTAAATCCCTGTAGAACTTCTTGCGGATCAAACGTTTCCTTCGGCCACTCGCAAAGAATAAGTACCTGCACATTTTCAGACCTAAAAATTTAATAACGTTAAAAATATTTCGGAATATCAAATAGATAATATCAGATTTCAAAATTTTGAACACTTGATTTTTTGTCGAGAAATCAATAGTTCAATAATTCCTTGAAAATATTTAGATTTAGATTTTAATTTAGCTTTCATTACTTACTTTGCTTTCCATTCGTCTTTAAGACCATTGAAACAAACGAGACGATATCGGTTTTTCAAAAAATGGCATTCGGGGTAATCGTTGATATGTGGACGATTCCCGTAACAAATGTCGTCATCTTTTGTAAAACCATTCGAAAAATGTGTGCATATACAGAAAAGTATAATTCTGTAAGTAAAATATTTTTTTATTGTCAATTCTTTGTAAAAATCATTGAAAAATTGAATTAATATGGGTTATCTCAACCGTATAGTTCAATGGAATTTAAATTAGCTTCACGACAAGCTGTTTAAACATCTGCGTGTGATTCTACGAAATAAAATTCATTTTTTTATTTAGTCGCAAAATAACATTTAAAGACGTTGCATAATTCACTTTCACGGAGGCATGTGACGGAAGTAGGTGTGTTAGCATGAGAGATTTATAATCTTTATTACTTGGCAGCTTCATTATATTTGTACAAGATGCGATAACGGAACCAATGCACCATGCCATTATTTTTCCCATTAACGAACTCATGTGTATAATTTAATATCTCGCAATTTATTATCTCCCTCTTAGCCTGAGCTTTGACGCACGAGCTTCGGTCGGTTTAACTTATCAGTGCTTAAAACACTTGAACGATCGATTCCACTTTCCAAACAATTCTGTTTCATGCTTAAGCATGCTTAAGCACGCCTACATAATGAATGTGAACAAATCACGCGACGCGAATGTTTTCACGCTTACTTTTGATTGTCAACGCACAACTTTGCCGCACTGATACTAAATATCGTGCAAATATTGTTACAGTTATCTTCCAAGCTAAATGGCCCACACTTCTCATGAAGAATTCGGTCACAAATATAATATATTTACTAATAGCACGACTGTGCTTTTTTAAATTTGTCACACAGATACATACGGAATATATAATTAGAACTTATTACTTAATGATCTATAAATAACGAGAATAAATAAAAACTTTTTTAAAATAGTTTTTTCAAAACTTGATCGTACTAGTTACATTTTTGAACAAGTAATTATAGGTATCTACCAGTTATTATTAAGTAATGTATCATAAACTTCTTAATTTATTCTTGGTAAAATTTTCTATTTATAAATATAAATGTGCTTTCTAGTTTCTAAATCTTCTATTTCTATCCATAATCAATATGCATTAAATATTTTTCAAAATCTTTTAGAAAGAAATTATTGCAAAATATGTAGTAAGACTAATTTATCACAATGAAAGCCGCAATATTTTTATGCAGAATAATTTTGATGCAGAAAATAAGAGTAAAATTTAGGTACTTACAGAAAAATTTGTTGTGCTATCATTTTCGTCATGTAAAATTTTAAGAAATCCAAATATTGATGTCGATGTGAATTATTTATAAATAGATATGCTCGGTTACAAATAGACAAAACGTAATTGATGAGAAATATGAAACTCTGGTATCACTCGACACTTTTTTCTTTAACGCGACGTCGATTTAGCAACGCACCCGCATCGCGCGCGTGATCGTAGCAAGTGTCGCATGAAGAATAGCAGTGACGTTAATGAGAAAAGAAGCTGTATTCGGCGTGTCAGGTGGATAAAGCGACCCAATGGCTTAACGTGTAATGAACATATTGCGCGATAACAAGCACAGCTACCAAGATGTGATCTGTTAGGTGCAGTGATGCATATTGTGATAATACATTTTTCAAACAGTAAAACTTAGAGCGTCGTTTAGCGATATACATTATTATGAACTTCTGACTTCTTAAAGCAATCGTAAAATGTATAAAAATATATACTACAATATTACTGGACATATAGGACATTTATTTTATTATTTATTTATATATAAATCTTTAGATTATCTATAATTCATAATAAAATTTGAGATAGAGTTCTATTTGCAATTTTATTGAAATATTTGAAAAATCAAAAAAGTACACGCACAGAATATAAAACACATATCTCAGTGATATGTATTTTATATGGATATATTTTGATTCTTTAAATATTTTCTATTAGATAAAATTATATATAAATTTCTATTTCAAATTCTGTAGCGAATTATAGATTGTTTAAAGTCAATATTGAATATGCATATGTGCTAGTATCCAGACATAATGTAGAATAAACTTAAAAGATATTTTTTAAATCAGCAATTTAGAAATTTCTTACTAAAACTGACCAAAATTGCTTGTTCAGCATTATAAAAAAATCACTTGCTCTTAAAATTAATAAATTCCTTAAGAGTCAAATTTTAAATTCCAACAAAATACAATCATATTCCTCACACTACAACTAGCATGAGGAATATAATATTATGTGAGAGTTTAGAATTTGATTTTTAAATTAATTCTTGAATTCTTTAGAATTTTATAGCTGATAACTAGCTCGTTGTATTAATTATTATATAATTAAATGTTTCAAAACCATGCTTAATTTTTTTAATTTGCAAATTTAATTATTTAATATTTTTTATATCATTTGGGGGAGGGGGGAGTTATATTTATGAATATAAAATAATAATTTTGTTAATATGTAGTTAATGATTGTGGGATATATCTGGCCATTGGAATATTTATTTTAGATGCTTATAGATAACTTATTATAAATATATAAAAGATAAAATTATTTTGTCTATTAAATCTTCATAAAAATTAAAAATATATATATTTATATTAATACATACCTATAAATCTTTGAAAACATGAACATCTCAGCAAACAAAATGTTAACAATGTTGACAGACTGACAGCAAATTTGATCAAATTTGCTGTCAGTCTGTCAACATTGTTAACATTTGATTACCTGGGATAAAACACATATGTAGAACGCAAAATAGAATCAATGGAATAATAGAGAAATTTTAATGAAGCATTTACAATGCTATGCAGTGCAATGAATTATAATGTTAGGTGACGTACATACGACATCCTTTATTCAATCAGCAGATTTGCTTTCTAGAGAAATATCTAGAGAAAAATGTCGATAACAAAAATCTTTAAAAAATATATATTCTTATTAAATATTAGAATGTCCATATCGAATAGTGAATACATACATTTTTCAAAATAATATAATAGTTTTTACTAATAATAATTAAAAATTGTTAAAAATGTAAACATAACCAAATTATTTTAAATTATTTATCAAACTTATAAAATTTGCAAATTAATTTTTTTATACAATTTTTTAAATAATTTGCATTTATATTTTAATTACAATTTATTAATTTGCATAAAAGTATATGCATTTTTTAAATTATTGTAATCCATATGATTAATTTCTGGACTAACCAATCATCTAACTGGACAAGTTGCTATCTCATTCTATTGGAACTCATCGACATATTTAGTCCACAAATTGTTCTGCTTTACTGACTGAGTTTCACGACAGTTTATTCTTGAAGAAACCCTTCCACGATCTTAATCGTGCAAGAGCTCAAACGAATCTATAACGCTTTTGTGAATACATCAACGTGTAATCCTTCGGCTAGTTAGTTGTTACGCCCTCAAAACGAGTGCACTTTACGAAATTGTTTACTAGTAATTGTACAATCAGTAAGCCTGCTTCCGGTGGCATTAAAATTCAGTGGCAGGATCGCACACGTTGTAAGAACATCGTAGACACATCGTAGGCATTGAAAGAACGTAGGGCGCCGTTTTACGTCGTCCGGCCGTGAGTGTTTCCCGTCCGAAAATTGTCGCATCGTCGTAAACCTAATGTCAGGCATAGCGATCGCTAGGCTCGCTGAGGAGCGAAAGGCATGGAGGAAGGATCATCCATTCGTAAGTCGCATTGTAAACCACGTTCCCGCGGGAACATGCCACCGGCGTCATTTCGCTTCGCGCGCGTGGAAGTGTGTCGATCATGGTATTATATTACTTCTCGTGAATGTAAACAATCATCCGCGTCGCACTCAGGTCCAAAATATCAGAAGTGATTTTCTAAATTTCGTTTAATAAATAAATTAATCGTTAGAATAATCTATTTATTTATCTATTTTAGGCCTGTCAGCAGATAATAAATTCATCTCTATTTAGAAGTGTTATACGTTTAACACATTAAATTTTAATATATTAAAACTATTTTTTTGTTCCTATTTTTTGAAAATTGTTTTGAATCTACTTTTATCATCTATATGAAACATTCTACATTTTGTTTTTAGGGAAGTAGATCAAGAAGAGAGGATAAAAGAATCTGTACTGCCAGCATTTAATGTATTAAACGTATAGCTTTTGTCTACAAAAGTAGAATATTTGTATAAAGTAATATTGCAAAATTCTCGAAACATGGATTATAGCTTGAAATCTGTAGTATTAAAACTCCTTGAATTGCTTTCAAAAATTGTGTAGGAATTTTAGCTTTAGTTTGTCATTTCTACGATTCATTTTTAAGATTGATTTTTGCTAACATAATGATGCAGAATGATGATCATTGATTACAGGGCTTTGTAGCTAGACCAACCAAGAATCCAGATGGTTCCCTTAACTTAATGAGTTGGGAATGTGCAATACCAGGGAAAAAATCTGTAGGATTCATTTTTTTTAAACAATTACACAGGGCTATGTACATTTGTACATTAAACTCGTGGTTTTGCAGACTCCTTGGGAGGGTGGGTTATATAAGCTACGTATGATTTTCAAAGATGACTATCCATCAAGTCCGCCAAAATGTAAATTTGAGCCTCCATTGTTTCATCCAAATGTTTATCCATCTGGTACTGTCTGCTTGTCGCTATTGGATGAAGAGAAAGACTGGCGACCAGCTATTACAATCAAGCAGATTCTCCTTGGTATTCAAGATTTGTTGAATGAACCAAATGTGAAAGATCCAGCCCAAGCCGAAGCATATACAATATATTGGTATTACATATAAGACGTGTTGACTATAAAAAATATTCATATCTAAGGAATACTCACTCAAACAATTTCTCTTACAGCCAAAATCGTCTGGAATATGAGAAGCGTGTAAAAGCTCAAGCCAGAGCAATGGCTCCACAAGAATAAACACAAGAAAATCAAATCGAAATTTGATATATGTGGGAAAGATATTCTATGTGGAACTCTCTTTTGAGCTGATCCATCGCTCTTATACAATTAACCTTTTTTACAAGTAAAATTAACATATGTTGTAACTAGTTAACTAGCTTATAATATTAAAGTTCATTTATCACATGTTGGCTTCATTCATCATATGTTTCTCAAAATTTTAAAGTAGAACACATTGTACTAACAAAAATCGCATATGAATTCTTTCACACATGAATATCTTTTATTAATATTAAGAAGTATGTTGTGAACATGTACTTTAAGGCAGAATTATTTTTTGATCCAAACTTTAATTTCTAAGTCTTATAAATGATTACTGATGTTATTTTTAAAGCAGAGAAACAAGTGTGGGTGACATTTAAAATAGAGGCAATTGTTGAGTGTCTATTGCTACGGACTCTATTCCTTATATAGGCAGTATATGGCAGTATGTATGTAGGTAGGATTATTTAAGAATCTACTAATGTACAAATTTCAGAAAAAAAATAAAAGAATCTGATTCGTCGAGTCGCATGGTCCTTCGAAGATAATCCTCCACAATCCTTAAGTTCCAGCAAATTGTATGCAAATGTATTCGCACGACTGAATGGCTTTCCACTACAATAAGTATGCACTTGAAATTTGAGTCGATGTGACGGAGAGCTTGGTTCACACAACGTTGACACATCTTTAATACTCCACTGAATATCGATTCTCGCTTTGGGAAGCAGATTATTCCAACGCGAGTTAGTCGCCGTTAGTTATCTCGAAATCATCTCGAACATACTGCCTCGAGTCGAGTGCATGACCGTGTCGTCAGTAGCACGATAGAGACACAACACGTAACATACGTGTACGTACAATAGCAATCCTTTAATCTTGAATATTAACGGTGATTTTGTGACACGATGCCGGCAGTTGGAAACTCTGCGTTACGAAAACTCAATACCGGAATCTTGTCCGCGTGCGTGATCGGTCTTGGATTATCGTATTATGCATATGTCGTGGAAACCAACAAAGAACAAGATGATTCGTACGAGGCGTTGTGTGACATTTCGGAGCATATTAGTTGCACTAAAGTATTCATGTCCGAGTAAGTGAGCAAAATATATACTACATCGGCACGATCGTGTTAAAGATAATTATGTTCTCTTCATGCCTTTAGTCTAAATATGATTAACGATTTTTCATTTGTTTCATCACTTTATATAGTCGAGATGCAATGGAATAACTTTATGGAATAACTTTATTATCTTCTGCAGGAAATATTCCCATATAAATTTTTATTTTAGACATGTCCTTATATTATATAGAATATTATTTTATACTGAATGAGGAACACAAATATCATTATTTTATCTTAATAATATAAAAAAATGATACAACATTATATTTATGTGTATTTATGTTTATGTGAATATCAAAAAATAGCGACAACAGATAATAGCAGTAGAGTAGCAATGAACATGATGATTTGCCAGATTTGGAGGTACATACCTATCGCAAATCGTTGATTGCTACTCTGCTGCTGCTCTACTGAACACGTTATCGATGAAACGTCATATGTTCAGCCATGATTCTTCGCTGCATAACTGCGCGAGTTTTTAAATAGGATGTTGGAATTTATAATCTAAAGAATAGTGTGGATTAATGTTTTCAGCATAATTTGATCGTTGTTATAGAGAACAGTGTAGAGATTAAGTAAGATAAAAATGACGTGACCATAAAATTATTTAAAATATGATTAAAAATAATCATGAAATTATTTCAACGAACAAAATAATAAATAATATCGTATTTCAGATATGGCAAAGGATTCGGGCTGATTCCAAAAAATTCCATATTTAACATTCCAAATTCGTTATATGGTTTAGCATTTTATACTCAGGTTGCAATTTTAAGTATGTATTTAAGTATTGACAGTATTTATATATATTTTATATATCAATATGTATTTAAGTATTGACAGTATATATATTTTATCTATCAATAATGAAATATTTTTTCAGGTATGATTAATAATTACACATGTTCTGCTGCCGTTGTTGTTCTGGGAATACTTTCAAACATTGGCTCGATATATTTAGCTCATATATTATACATATTTAATGACATTTGCGTAGTGTGCATTAGCACTTATATTGTAAACGCAGCGATTACGTATTTCAGCATTAAGAAATTCCGAAAATTGTCCATCAATGATGCGCGCAAAAAGAAGATAAAATAACTTTTTTTCATTTAATTGCAACTTTTGCGGTTGTGATAGAGAAGCTATTATAACTTTTTTTACTAGACTGTTATTTTTTTATTTATAAAATTATATCAATGTAGATATAAGTATTAAAAATTTTACAGATAGATAAATGTAGTCTCAGACACATCACTTATACCACGATGAGTGAGGTCAAGGCGTTTCTTCATGTTATATAATGCAAACGGTTCTTAATGTACAACTAATTTTTATACTGTAATTTACATAACCAGTTATATATCTGTTTGTTTTTACCCAACAAGAATGTTTTTAAAATCAAAGACGCATTTTTTAATAATAATTATGTACAATTGAAAATAAAAGTTTTATTTGTATTATAAATCAAAGATATGAACAATATAAATTATATTACATAATACAAAAATCGTATTAATAAAAATTATACACGATAATTCATATTGCAGGGCGTCTCAAGTTCTTCATATTTTTTTTGGCGACTATTCCTATATTTAATTTGATATAATTATTTCTATATTTGATTTGATATTCAATTTAACAAAAAATATGCTTGCTCAAAGAATATTGATGATAGAAATTACAATGAACGCGGAACTCTCTTTTGTACATTGTATATCGAAGTTAGCAACATTTTTCATACTTTTTTGTAAGAATATCAGTAATTTAAAATACGTGGCACATAAAAGAAATGTTAAAAAAAATATGAAACATCTTTTAATGTTAAAAAATTTAACGATTGTTATCAGTGTTCTATTTTACTATATTTCATATAATCAATTTCAAATATGATTTGATTTGACGATTTCATGCGTCAATCTTTCGTAAAAAAGATGTTGCGTATATCATATAAAATTACGCTTTTCTCGTTCGAAAGCAAAAAATCGATTATATAATTTCTAGCTTTAGCATTGTCCATCATTTCTTGATCACTTTCGTGAAAGGCGCAACATAAAAAATGAAATGAATTATTTATTAAGGATAAATTTAAAATTTTAATTGTATATATATTTACAAATAAACATGTGGTCATCAGTGATGCAATTAAGAGTAGAAAGAAGAAGCGGCGGTCAAATATCAAATATAAAAAAAAATACAAGATTATCGATAATTTATATACAGCGCAATTTATAATACACGTAACATACATACAATTCATTATTTTACTAGAACTGTAGCTCTTTGTTCATGCCAGATTTGATCTGCTCATATTTTGAAAAAAAGAATCTTTGTGTACGCGTGCAGAGAAAGGAGAGCGGTATAATTCCACTGAAATGTACATTGTTGCGTCACTGACGACCATCGCTTATTATTTACCATCTTTTAACAGATCTTTAGTACTACGACTGATGCTGGCGAGAATACCGGGGCTCTTGAGCGGCGGTGTTTCGTCCAACCGGTTCAGGTGTAAATTGGAGGTATACGGTGCGCGCGTCGGCGTGTCGATGCCGTTCTTGTCCGCCTCGACGTTAAAACTCTTGCTGCGCGATAGCGACGATTTGTATGTCCGTTCGGGTTTCGGTGGTGCCTGAAGAGTGCTGTAGGTCGATGCTGTGTTCACTTTGGGAGACGTGTTCACAGTATTTTTGATCGATATGTTGATCATGCTACTGTGCTGCTGGTTCCTTTTACCGGGCGTACCGTGTCTCGTACCGATATTCGCGTGAACGCCTTGATGTCGCCTGGTCTGCGATGTTGCTTGCGACGAGCGTGTCGATTGTCCACCGGAATGCAGATTCCGCGGTAATGTTTGCGTGGACCGGAAGTGCTCCTCCCTCTCGTGATCGCCGGCCAGTCTGCTGGTGGATTTGCTAAATCTGCCGAGGGAGCTGGAGACAACGCTGAAACGCGGTCGTTTCCGAAAGATGATTCCGAGTCGTGATGTACTTTCTCTCGTCGGTTGAACGATCGAACGAGCGTAACGAGCCCATATATACATACACACATTCGAGATTCATGCGTACCCTTCATGCAGCCCTCACCCGAAATCGAAGCGAGCGCGAGTTCGCCGAGATGCGACTTAAAAGATACCCAAGCGGCCCCGATTTAGTCGTTCGCACTTTGGCTCCTGAAGCTTGTACAATTAGATCCGTCTTTGGCGGCTGAGCGACATGAGATAGCAAATTTGTTGTCCACTCACGATGACAGCCTCCGATGTACATCGAGAGACAAATTTTCACTGACAATGTGCGAAAGCATGAAATATCCTCGAAATGCCGAATCATTTCTGACAAATATTTCACGTGTGCGATGGGCAACTAAACTTATGAAATATCTCGAATCAATTCAGGTCTCTCGCACTTTCACTTTTAATTTATTATCATTTTCGTCTGCCAAAAATCGTGATTCTTTACAATTTGTTAAAGTTTTTCTTGTATATCTCTATGTCTCAAATTAAAATATTAATTTAATTAATTTAACTTAATTTATCTCAAAGCCCATAAAAAGTAGATGAAATCGAAACGACCGCTAATAACCGCGAGTAATATTACAAAGCAATCGATGTTTAAATAATTCGAAATTTATCAGCCAAAATTTGTCTCGCTCTCAAACTACGTCATATATCGAGTATACTTCGATTTACCTGTGCTCCGAATCTACGGTAATTTTACCGGAGCCGCGCGGTCTTCCGTGTCGCTGTTGGTCTCTGTCGTCCTCGTATCCTTTCTCGCGGCCGTAGATACTGCCGCCGAAAGGATCCTCGCCCAAATAGTACCTCTGCAAAGGCGGCGGCGTGGACTCGCTACGCTTCCATTGCTCCTGGACGACGTGATCGGTCGTTTTAGTGGCTGTCCTCACTTTATTCGACGCTTTGTTGACGTTGCGCGGTGACCGCGGTGGTCTCTCCGGGGGTTTATCCTTCGGCGGCGTCACGACTCTTTCACTGACGAGCGGAATATTTCTATCGATCACGTTGTACTGTAAATAGGTCGGGCCGTTGTCATCGGTCTGCGTCAATTGCGAGATCGAACTTCCCCGTTTATTCTTCCTCTCCGTGCTGGCTGAGCGCAATTTGCCCACCAGCTTTCGAAAAGATTCGCCGATCTTGTACTTAGAACCGCTACCTGTAAATCGATTTTTAGCGCTTTACAATGATATTTTATCTACGAGCTATGATGATGTAATATTAATATTAACAATCTTTTTTTATCTTATCGATGTTAAAACTTGATTTTTAGATAATATTTGACAAACGAGAGGCACACATTGTAAGTTACATCTAGTTGCATCTCAATGGATTTTGTTTTCATCTTTTGAAAACTTACTTTTTGATGTCCGTGTAGTGTCGGATTTTTTTTCCTCGCGACGGGGCGTCGACGGTTCTGGAGAGATCGACCGTGATCGCGGCGAAGTGCTTTTATCGCGTTCTTGAACATCGCGGCTACGACTCTCCCAAGTTCTTTGCACCACATGTACCGGACTTGAGGTACGTCCCAAAGATAGATCATTGAAATTAATCTTTTCTTCAGATTTTGTCCACTGCAAGCCATTAATTATGAATATAATGAAACATTTTATAAATCTACGATGATGCAAGTCAGTTATTCGTTTAATTAATTGCTTATATCTAGCAATAAATATTAAAAAGAGCACAAATAGACATTAAATTTACTATAGGCTATTCTATTATTTTGTATATATTTTTCTCCTAAATTTATTTTAGAAAATGATAATTTCGATTACAAAAAAGGAAAGATTCGTACTTGTTCTTTCGGTTTCCGACGAATCGGTGGGGAAGGTGTGCGTTGCCGTTCCTCGATGGAATCTTGATATTCGCGTCGAAAAGATTCGTAAGTTTTCGAATATGATGATTCAACTTGATTTCTCTTATGCCCGTGGGCATGTCCGTTGGCACGAGGAGATTCCACACGTCGAACCGGAGAGCTCGAGCGTGCGTGATTTTGTTTCTCTAAAACATGAATTATACATTCACATTGTTTAAAAATTATATATATAGTTTAATATTTATAAAGTTGTGATAAATTGATTATATTTGACTGCAAAATATATTATCGGAAAATCGTACAATTTTATCTTTCGCAAGAAACTTATATAAAAATAACATTTTATATTTTAATATGAATTTAAAAACAAATCTTTTAGCATTAATACTATGAATAATTTTTTTTCAATTGTTTTTTTCCATACCTCTCCCTTGATATCGCTCCGACCACTCGCTGATTCCATGAAAATATCTAGAAGGCGAATCCGAGTCTCGACCACGTCGCTGATGGCGGTTGGAGCTTGCGTTTTGATAATCGCGTTCCTTCGGTGTGCAGGACTTCATAGTAACATTGATGTAGCTTGTATTGGTGCTGGTTGGGAGAGGAGAGTCGTCGGCGTCGAGAGACCCGTGGGAGGAGCGCGAGTCGCTACCGAAGTGGCTTTCCAGCCACTTCGATGTTTCGAATTTTCTCGCCTCGTCCTCTTCTTCAAGATCCAATGGCTTTTTCGTTAGAGCATCTTTCCGCGCGGCATCCGGGAAACCTATAATAACGTGTAGTGTTTTTTGTCTGCAGAGAATTGCGTCGGTAGGAGAATGGGATTTCGATATTTTTCAGACTCTAATTCCAGAAGAGTTCTAGATTCAAAGTTCGAAACAATGAGACTTTAACCATTTTTTTTTTTTGTTAAATAGATAATTTTCTGCTTATTGCAGATATAATCTTGATGAGAAAATCGTTAATTTATTAACCGTCAGTTTTTGCGTTTCGATATTACGGAATATACCGCGGACCGTCCGATCGATCGACCGTATAAACATGTGGAACGCGGCGATGGAAAATTAATAGAGAAAGGCGGCGCGTACCGGAGTATTTGTGAAGACGAGTCGTCCGCATGCCTGTTGGTGATGGCGACCAGTCGCCTATTCGTTCTCCTTCGCTTGTCTCTGCGACGTAGCGCATTTCTCGACCGACTCTCTCGCCGGCCGAGATGTAGTCCACCACGTCCTCTTCTCTCTTCTTAACGTACCTCTGTGAGCTTTCTTTCTTCGTTTCCGATGCGTCGTCGTCGTTCCTTCCGTCGTCCGGAACCTCGTCGTCGTTAATCTGAAACAGAAGAGTTCGCGCGTTCAAAAAAAAAATTTTTTTTTTTTTTATTATTTACATTATATTATAATATTAATATTGTTATTTAAAATTTGTGGAACATTGAGGATAAGTGGAGACAAGGAAAGGAAAATGGAAGCGAGAGTGTACTTAGTCGATTTTTACTGCCGCGACTTACCTCT